AGGGATTAGGGTTTGCTTCCTTTCTTTTTAGAGTAAGTGGACTTTGGGTTAATTGTTGGATAATGGGAAAGTTTAAAGCATGGGCCTTAGTAATTGTTTTCAGTGCCCTGTCCGATCCTTTCGTTTTGTGATTGCTTCAATTATTAAGTCGAAGAATTTATTAATTGATATATATATACAATTAGAGATTAGGGTTTTTTTGGCTTCCTATGTATGCCAGTCTGGAAAATATGAGATTTTGGGTTAATTATTAGCTAAGGGGAATGCTTGAAAAAGGGTTAGTTGTGCTGAAAATTGTGATACACATAGTACTTCCATCGAACAGAAATTGATTTGTTAATTTTTATTTAATGGTTTATTTGCTTGCAGCATTAATGCCCAAATGAAAAGAATTGAATATGGTAGAGCCTGTTTTCGACTTTCATTTTTATATATTTGATTTTTAATACGGAGGTCATGTATATATTAGACAATTTTTTATGTTTTATGAGCATTTTTGAGTTGACTTATTGGATTTTAGCTAGGTAAACATAGGCTAGGTTTCAAGTCGGAATGTAAGATGGAGTGAATTCCATCTGTTACATGGGAACTCAGCTTAATTGCTTTCACTATTCTTTGTTTTTGCCTTATTGATTATCAGTAGGCAACATATTGCCTTATCCCCTATACTCTATTACTTGATGTAAAGGAGTGTATGATTGTGAGCATAATAACTATAATAGGCTTTAATATTTCCCTAGTTGGCCTGCGATTATTGAGTTGTGTTAGATGTTCGTCAATAATTAATTGGTTAGGACTCCAGAAAGATCATGTTACATAGAACTGATGTGTTCTGCAATGAATTTGTTCCATTATTAGTGGTTTTTATGTCAAACAATGATACATTACATGTGGGGTGAATTGAAGCATAGGATTTCTTGCTTGAGATGTGTATTTCATTTTAAAATGTTATTGTATTATAACAAGCCCTATGATATTTTAAGTTTCTTGCATTTGCAGTTGTCCATGTGTGTATATAATTTTGTATATCAACTAATAAAACTATTGTATGGAAAATGCTATACAGTTCCCTTCAATATATTGTGGGGGGTTTTTTGCATCATTTGTCTTGTATTGTTAGTGGAAAAAGGTTTACTCCTTTGTATTTTAGTTGCCTTATCTCTGTTGAATTTTGTTGAAATGTTCTATTTTTTTAATTCTTTTCAGTACCCTTTGTTCTACTGATAAAGAAATACTGGTCTTAAATATAAATTCATTTTTCAACTATCATATTGGAACCTTAAGTCATGTTTGATACCTTAATTGATAGGCTTCCACTATAGTACATTAATGGGACTCTCTTTGACTGCCTGTGTCTTTTTTT